CACCAACCCCCCGAAACCCGTCAAGAGCTTCCACGTATCAGGGCGCATCAGGCAGACCCAAAGGACTAAACACCGTACCTCAGCACCTTTGAGGGGGATTCCGTGTTGGGTTTTTGCGTAGATTTCAAGGCGATTGGGGAAGAGGCGCACGTGTTTCTTTTGCCAGGTGTGCAAGAACGGACCGCCCAGTCGAAGCAGCTCGCTTTCAATGAGGCAGTCGGAGGGTCCGCAGCCGTAGGTGTTCGGGTCGATCCACCACTCAAGCAGGAGCTCGGCCGGCCAGCTCGGAATGTCGTCCTGGCCGAGGGGCTTCTGCGACAACAGGGACGATGGCGACATCGGCAGTGGCGGTGGTGGTGGCGGCGGCGGTGGAGCAGGTGGGGACGGAGGAAGCGTTGTGGGCGAGTCGGAGTCGGCTTGAATGGACTGGGTCAATTTCTGCTCCAGTTTCGCCTGACGTTTGCTTTCAATTTGGTCGAACTCTTCGTTCACAGCGTCGAAGATGGTGGTTGTCATTTCGTGTTGCCAGCGGTCGGCAATGACGGTATCAAAGTGCTCGTAAATCTTTTGGTCATCTTCCGACAGCTGCAAACATCAAAAATTTATGGACTTTGTTCTGCAGAGTAAGCAATCTTTTAAAATGACATTATGTGATTCAAATCAGAACATTTCACGCACATACGTGGACACCCTAAGCACGGATACTTTGTTTGAATAAGCCGATTGTGGAGGGTGACATTTAAGGGTTAATAAGGTCATCTCTTTTGGTGATTTTTACCCGAGGTCGTCTCTTCAAATTTGCAATAAATATCTTCGAATGATTTGCGCTCCAACAGCCCTTGAGTGTCATTCATTGGCCAAGAGTTATATCGATTATTTAATAGTAAGTTCAAATTTTAGGTATTGATTTTCGTGAGAGGGTGAAAAGCAATTATGTATTTGCCTGATCGCCCCGTCTCTTCGTTGGCCCGTTACTTGTTATCAGATCAAACGCTTGCCAACTTACGCTACAACCGGTCGGTAGCCGGAAACAGTTGTGTCGTCAGGATAGGAAATGTGAAGAGGTAAGAGGTATATGGAATTTATATGGTGTTTGGAATGTATCTAACGAAGACTAATAATCAAATGAAAATGAAGACACAAACACTGACCAGTCATGATTTGGAATGAGTCAAGGCCATTTTGGTTAACGGAAAAATATGTCTTGAATTTTTTTCGAAACAGTGGAATGAAAAATAAACAATGACGAGAAGTTGATCTTTAGCTAATTCGTCGTATTAAGACAAACTTCCATCTGACCTATGGAACTGCCTCGCAAATCTGGCTAGCATTTCTTCAAAATGCAAGAAAATGGAACATCCATTCGTCGTCTTACCCGAATCCCCAGAGTGTCTTCTTCGTCGAAGGCGCCGATTTCGAAGGCGTCGGCGGCATTCACCTCGCCCTGCGGCGGAATCAACGGCGGCTGGAGGCGCTGGCGCTTCGCCAACTCCCAGTCCACGTTGGCCAGGAACGTGTGCGTTTTCAGCTCTCCAGCGCTTTCGTCCAAAAAACACAGACGACAAAAAAAACAATTCACTCGGCCCCACCTATTTGCATGGCTTTCGTCCAGGGACTACGTGTGTGTGTGTGTGAAGCCGAAAGTGTTTTTCGCTTGGGGACTGCTATTCCCCCGACAGTGACTAATCAATCGGTCTGATTTCAGCGACGAAATATGTTTACATGTTTTAAATATCCCACTTTTTTTAATAAAATACGTTTTTAGCATGTGAATCGATAACTTATATTTTTGTGTTATTTGAGTGAGCTAATGTATGCAAGCTGGAATTCACCAAGTCGAGGGTTGTGGAGGCTCATTTTATAAAAAAAAATAAAGATCTTAGATTATTGCCCATGCTCCTCTCCATCTCTCTCGCTTCGCATTCAATGCCCCACAACTTGGTTTCAAGTTGAAGTGCTGCCATTGCATTAGGCCAGTTCTAAGCACCAATAGGATCTGCTCCGTTGTTCCGAAAAGGAGATTGTAGGAAGCAGCAACTCCTGGCAATTTATCGTGATATCTAGCATTAGAATGATTGACATTGACACTGCTTAGATTAACGCATCCACGATAATGTTAGCCCAAAGTAGTGTTCGATATATCAAGTAGTACGTCTTATGGTGTTCATCAGTAGCAGGATTAGATACCCAGGTGTTCAGTTGGGTGGGCAATATCGGTGGTTGTTCCGGCCCTAATTATTCTCGTTTTTGTGTGCGTGAATTACTGGCTCGAGTTCACATCAAACACGACTAGTCACACTTGGTTGATGAAAAACAAAACCCTCTTTAACCTGGACACGAGTGGACCACAGGTGCTTGCCGGTTTAACTTGTTTTCCAACGGACAGTTAGCGAGGCGCCCACCGGTTCCTTCGTTTTTCACCGCGCCAACTTGTCACAGGCGAACACTGTGTGATTTTGGCACCAAAATGAGGAGTGGTTTGTTTGGAGTCGGCTTCAAGTTTGATTAGTCGCTCAGATTCTTATAGGTTGTAATCATTAAATCGCCGTCCTGATACTGAGAACAGTAGAACCCACACACACACACACACACAATTAGTGTCGGTTTTGCTTCGAATTGACGGCGAAGCATCCAATATGAAAGTTGCATGATATCTGTAAATTGGACTCAAGTTATAAGTCCTTGATCTACCCGCCAATATTCAATTAGTGTAATATGCGCTACTACGAGTATTCGCGAGTTGATGGTGCCGTAAATTTTGGCGTTTTTCGATTGGCTGACGTTTTGCCATCCAATCGAATTACACCTTTGAGATGGTCGTTTAGAATGTTGCAATTAAAAGTAATCAAAATGCATTAGCTCATTTATATCTGTCAATTTTTTGTACTACGAAATCCCTCTATCTTTCCAAAATTGAAAACGAACATTGATAAAAAAATTTTGTTTATATACTGCGTCCATGTGCTGTTACTTTGAAGGTATTTAGCAAAATAACGATATGGAATTGAACTCAATGCTTAGACGATGAATTCAAGAATTTTTTCCCACTACTCCTTCCAGTCAACAGGTGCACAAAACTGTGGCAATCCAGGCACAGCTAGCAGCGTTTAAACTGCTGTTTAATTTTTCAAACGAAAACAATATTTTAAGCTGGTTTGGGCTATAAAACGCGAAGACCTGTTCCAGTTCAAGGACGCATAAAAGCCATGCGGTGTAAACAAGAGTCGGCCATCAAAAGGCCGCGTTTATCAAGGCTGGAAGTCGCCAAAACGCATTTGTCGATCTTCTTCTCTAATTTTTTTCACCATTCGGACTAATTGTGTGCAAATCGAAACACAATTTGCAAACAACAGCACGCATACGAACCATTTTCAGAAAATCGCTAAACTGCCGACGACAGAAGTCACTGTCCTGCATAAATCACAAAAGAATTATTCGGAGCATTTAAAAAAATCTACTAGCCAGCGTTTGACTTCATTCTGAGTTGACTAGTCACCAATTAGGCCATGAAATATTCCATTTTATTTCTGCCCAATCGTTGACGACTAATGGTGAGCAGAATTATTAGTTTGATCACCTACTAAGGTACGTATTTCAGGAATGTTCTTCACCAAAACATCGCATTTTGAGTGCTGTCGTGATTGACATTTGCATTTTTGGACCCTGGAAAGTGACCAAAAATGATAATTGCTTGTTTTTGTGTCATGATTCACGAATTTCGCAGTTGTTGCACGCCTAAACAAAAAGCTGTTGTGCTAATGATGGCACTTAACCATCAAGCGTGATAAAACTCAGTCCAAAATTGAATAACTAACGCCAGGGCAAATTCGTGTAGTATCAATAACGGATTGCTGGTAGGGGGGAAGTTGTTAAAATTACAACTTTGGTTCAAAAAAGCAGCAAAAAACGAATTAGGAAATTACCCATGTCCCTGACACCCCAGTCGCACATCGATGTTTGTTTGAAGAAGACCAATCAAAAAGGCTTTCGTCGGATCCTCAAAGTTGTCTGGGATTTTCAGTACCTAAATGTAAAAAAATGGCGGCTGTTTTAAAGAACTTTACAAACATTTGATTGTGTCCTGCATGTGCCTTGAAGGATTCTTCGTACTTGGAGTATTTGACAGGGAGTCTGAGTCAGGAGTTTGATGTTTGTAATCCGACATAAAAGTACCAAAAACGCCATATTTTGGTTTTTTGCAAAACAGTGACTAGTTAGCGGTCGATGAAAGCCTACGCAATCACTGGATGAGGTTTTACAAAACAACCACACAATTTGCGTTTAAAGCACGACTCGTTGCGCAGATGCCAGTTTGTCCCAAGCTGAAACACGAGTTTGACTTGGAATCCAAGGAATTAGACTAAAGCAAGATAAATACAGGAAGTGGCGTAAGCGATTGCATCGGCAGAGACAAGGATAAAGGAAGGTAGGAAGCGTGCGAGGACAAGATGGTAGTTTGGAAAGGCTCCCAGAGCATGTCTTCGTGAAGGTCAAGCGTAATTGATGCACAGCGTCCACGAGAAATTCTTGTCCAGTTTGACGAGGATTATGAGTTGGTTGGTTTAGAAGCCGATCGGAACCATGATATTCCTCTTTTTTGGGGGAAAAATCCAGCACGTCAGGGCCACGTTACAGCGTTCGTTTGGAACAAGCTGGTGACGGTGTGCAAAGAGGTGGAACATTGGAGGAAGAAATCCGACTTGCCAGGTTGAAGTTGGTTTCGTTTTTACGTCAACCAAGTGTGCCTGGTTGTGTTGGATGCGAATTCGAGCCAACAATCCACGCACACAAAGGCGATGCTGGCCATTTCGCTGCACACCTCATCAACTGTTCATGTCACTCTGACCTTTTGAGTCCTAACGAAACCAC